TCCAAACAACATCCAGCTCGTCAGCAAGCTAGACTGCGTCATCGCGCATGCTTTGACAGATGTCACCCTCTGCAGCAACATCTTGAAAGCGTTGGTAGACAGTGCCCAGGACATTCACATCCTTACTGGTGACAACGAATCATTGGTCCTGCTGTTGTACTACACATTGAGAATACTGGTCGTCACCAAAATTCAACTGAAAGAGAAAAGTGACGATGTCCTGAACGTTAACGAGGCCACCGAGAGGCTCCGTGAGGCTCCAGTGTAACCAGCTCATCGGTGTCCACGCACTGTGGGAATGCGACGCGGTGTGACATCCCTTCGGAGACCGACACCAGTCGACGCTGAAGCTATGAGAGATAGACACACTAGTCTGGTGCTCAGAAGCCCGGTGCGACCCGTGAACAACTCGGAGCAACCGCAGACACAACGCTACAGCTGTGCGACAACAAACGCCGCGCGTGCTCGTTTCTTTCTTGGCATTAAGAAGCCTCTTCTGCCTGAGAAGCTGCCGCCGGCTAATGCCAGCCTGTGGGTGAATGTGGTCTGAGCTCACAGCAGATGATTTTGTAAAAGGTAGCCAACCAAAGTGACCCCTTCCCCGAACATGAGAAGCTAGATATATTGCCAACTTCATTTAGAGCATCGAAGTCTCCGCCGTATGCCAGCCGCTACAACGGCGCCAGTTATTGCAAAAGCACTCCTGGATCCAGTAACCTGCATCTGCAGATCAAGATCGCCAACCATTTATTATTAACGGATTACCGAAAAACTGCCCTTATGAGGTAGATGTAGATTTGAACCCTCCTTTCGGTTTCTCTGATCACAGGACGTCAACGGATGTCTTATGTTGACTTTATGATGGTCGGGAGTAGTCACTGACCTGATCTCACTCCACCTTTTGACTTGAGGAGCACGCTATCGATAACAGTGCTTGATGCTGATCTAAAAATCAAATATCAAACAATTTCGAAGGTTGCTTGGTCACATTGACTCTCTGAAGGTCAAATAAGCTCACTGACCTGACATGTATGTATATGTAGATCAGTGAACTTTTGCTTAGAAAAACTATCTAGCTGAAAGGTGGCTGTGTGACGAGGTCTAAAAGCACTTCGGTTACCAATCTGGAGGTCGACCTTGTCCGACCTTATTTGACCCGAAGGTAACGACGTAAAGACCTCAAAACCTGACTTAACTCAGGTCAAATAAAAGGTCGACTTACCCTGTGAATATTTTGCGTTTCTGGCTCTCTTAGCTTTTGAGATGTCAGGCGATCAAGTTGGTCCAGCCCATCCCCACCCCGCCACCCGAGTGCGCCGCATACAGCCGGCCAACCGGCCGCGTGTGAACTTTGGTACGTCTCAAAGCTGATAAACCTCACATGATGGGCATCAACGCCCACAAAACCACAGAACGTCCCTCAGCGCGCGCCTAAGGGACCGCATGCTGAGGGACCTACGGGCTCTTAGTAGCCGCAAGAGTGAGGGCACCTACACTGTGGATTTTTAGTTTAATAGAATGGTAACTGTTTTGGGTTAGTGGGTGTGATGCCGTCAATCAGGAGGAGAGGCCTTAGTTACAGAATATGCAACGTTAAAACGACGATGGCTAAGTGGGTGATGACTTGCGAGACCAACTGCCATTCGGACACATCATGAACGGGTGTCAACATTCTGTTTCGTACAATGGTTTCGCTGCAATACAACACCTAGTGCTTCCACCATCGCAAAATGGCCGCTCCCGTAGACGCTCGATGGTATGCTGGATGTGTTGATAAACAGAGAGCGCAGTGGAGAAGACAACAGCGGGCTAAATACTCAAATTGTATTCTTTCCATAAAAACAAAAGCGTTTGTCTGTGGAAAACAATACGATCGAAATGCGCTGAGTTGTAGGTCTTGAGGGGCTAGGCTTGTTTTTGCTTTGTCAATGCCTAGCTCTCGGTTATGCCCCCCCCCCCCCCTCTGGGAAAAATATGTGGTGCCGCCCTTGGATCATCGCGGGAAGGGGACCCTCTGACTCCTCACAAAGCGGAGATGAAAAACATGCTATTGGTCGGGGTTACATTCGCGAGGCCCGTGGGTTAAATTCGCGAGGTAAGATTTTCTTATTGCAGGGACCTGCGGAGAGGCTAGTTCCAGTCACTTGCAACGCAGAACTCTCCCATCTGCTTAGCACGGAAGGCTTGGAGAAAAATGCGCGCGGTTATAGTCAGCATAGGCCAGGTCTGCCATCAAGCTGATTTCGGGCTGGTCGCTTCACACCAGGCCGACTCGACGGTGCTAGCTAGGCCGCGGCGCCGGCTGGATACACGGAGTGGGTCCCTCAGTGCTGCCGACCGCCCCTCCGCGTCTAAAAGACCCGAGTGAAATCTTATCATGGAGGGCGCCTGACCGTGTACCCAAATGTATCCTGATCAAACTGCGCGCTGCAAAACTATCGCCTTTGCTGGAAAAAGTGCGTTGAGGACCGAGTTCTTCGGGATTTGTTTTAGAACGGGGGGGAGGGGTAAATGACAGGAATTTATGACCCTTTCAAATGTTTTGGCTCACTCCGCCCGGGGTTCATTGGTGGATAAGTTATACTGATGATTTTGTGTAGGTTGCATCGCAGCTGTTTTAACATTCGCTGCACGGGAGTTTTCATCTTCGCCCTAAGAGGCATGGGAGTCTTAGGTTTTCATAACGTCTCGAAAACTAAGCAAACTGGGGCCACGCCGAAAACGACAATCGAAATCTCTTGTAAAACAGCACCAGACGGTTGTGTTGAGTGGTGGTAAATGGTCTTTGACTGATAAAACCAGCTCCAAAATGTCAAATCAGCTCTTTATTAGCACCTCTATTATCAAGAACAAAGCATTCTACAATGGTGACACAGTGTGGACAGCTTTCGGAAAACATCAGTTAGGAACTGTTGTGCGAACATATGTGATCTGTGATGTTCTGTCAGGTTAAAGATGTTGTTGCGATTGTAATATTGACCCGTGCGGCTGTATCAAGAACTAAACAAACCGTCTTGATAGGAAGCACACGGTTAGGAATGCCTTCCTAAGCGAGTGCATTTAGCGTGTTGATTGTTGCTTTTGAATAAAATATCACCAATATGACCTAGAAAAAGAGGTAATAGATCATGAACCGCGCAGGTCAGAATCTTGCTCCGAAGTCAGTTTTTACTAGAAAGTCGTACTCCAGTGAAATCTCAGGACTAGTTACGTATAATAGTAGCACAGCGTAGTGCCACTGCAGCACCGTCAAGACATAAAAGAATATTAATGTCAATTATTTTCTCCATCAAATTACGCTACCGTGTGTCATAGTACTAGATTTTTCCCTGCAGTCGCGACCACCGTCGTCATGGCAGCCCTGGTCACGACAACCAGCGTGCGCACCCGTACTGGAGCAAATATTTAAAAAAGCGTCCGTGATTGGCCCGTGGGCGAGGGCCTGTTAGCGAGGCGCGCTTTGGTTGAAGTCTGAGCCAGTGCGTCACATGGACCAAGTGATTCTACGATTCCTCAAGCCAACGCGCGACTCCAAAAGGGACGCTGTGATAAACGGCATAGGGGAGAAATAGAAGCCATAGTAGAGCGTTTCGTTAAGTTCGTGGGGTAACAGTTTCATGTTCGCATATATTCTAAATAGAGTATTTCAAGCTTTCGTAGCATTTACTACACAAATATTGAACACACTAGTGTGTTGCAAACATTACAGAACATATATGTTGGAGCAAGCAAGGCAAATAAATGTATTGCTTTTAAGATTTATCGGGAGTCAAATGACCTTTCTCTCGCAGTGTGGGCTACTTTAAATCAGAACTTTGAGTTCAAAAACTTTGAGAACACTCAGAATTTCGAGAACATTGGTATTTCTGATCAGATCGCACGCGTCTGATGCAACAAGAGCAGCGTACAAAAAGGTTGGATACACCCTGATATAACCGACGTAACCTTACAAATAACCTTGGTTATGCCGAAATAACCTTAGAAGAGAAGGAGACAAGGTCTCTTAGATGTTCCTCGTAAGGAGAGCGTTGATGTAGTTTTATTAATACATCGACTGTCTGTCGGTAGGTGATAGTCGCATATGCGTAGTAAAGGCTTTATAAATAATGACATTGGAAACATGACGCTATATCGGCATTCAGGACCGATTCCTTATTGTTAGTAACGCGATTTTGATGTAATACAGAAATTCAAGTGCGCATGACCATTTCCCACACTGCCGCATTTAAGCACGGGTAAGGGCACCAGTGTCGTGCCTTCCATCATGTGCTGTTGATCCCGTTGATCCATACCCTGTCATGCAAGCCTGTGAAATCGTCGCGTATCTGGTATTTGGCCGTACACATTTGGTAGCACACTCCAAAATACCAACACACCAGTCAAATATATTCGGTACCCTACGCCGCGAAACCATCTACAAACTGACGCTACAAACCACATTTTCAAATCGACCATCAGGCTGGGGATCTCATTCACCAGCCTTCCGTGAAATCCTGTGACACACAATGCATGTCAAATACCTCGGAACTGCACTTATCGGCTATCAGACTTCTGAGAAAGGGCTGAACGCGCACATCGTCGATACAGAAATTACCCGCGATAGTGAACCTTTCGGACTTCCCTGACATGTTGACTGGAAATGTGTGGAGAGCGCGCACATTTTTCCAAACGAAGCTGCCCTGGCTGGGAAAACGTGCGTATTTTTTAGAAAAGCAAGCATATTCCCATCAGGCGCAAAGGTGACTCTAAGGGATAAGGTGACTCTACAAAGGTGACTCTAAGGGACAAGGTGACTCTACAAAGGTGACTACGGATAGGCTTGGAACTAAGCGGTAAGTTACACAGATAATTAAAATCAACCCAATTACTAAATCCACTATCTGTAAAGACCCTGCAAAAAGTAAGCGCATAACATGTACCTGGCTGGTATGGCACCCTGGCCGAAGCGAGCAATGGAACAACAATTCGCCTAAACCGTCGAGACGACTACCTCGCGATCGCTATGCCTCAAACGGGGGTAGTCCGAAGTCTTCGGGCCGAAAATGTTCCAGAGATGTCAGCACTAACGTGGCGGGCCGAGTCATTTCCTCCGGCATGCGCGGGTCGGGCACCATGATGCACGGCATGCCGGCGGCGCGCGCCGACAGCACGCCGTTGGGAGCGTCCTCGAAGGTGAGCACGTTCTCGGGCCGCGCTGGCGGCACTGCGAAGCGGCGCGCCGCCACCTGATACACGTCGGGCGCCGGCTTCCCGTTCGTCACCTCCGGCTCCGTGGAGGCAAGAACAGCGTGCGTGAAGAGCGCGAACAGCGCGCCGTGTCGGCTCGTCTTCAGCTTGAAGGCGGGCGCACCGCCGCCGGACGCCAGCGCCATGGGCACGCCGTGGCGGTGCAGGTGGCGCACGAGCCGCTCTGCCCCAGGCATCAGCTCAGTGGTAGGGAACAGCTGCTGCCAGATGCGGCCTGACTGCTCCAGGTACTCCTCCGGGGTCAGCGGCAGGTCCAGGCTGCGCACGATGTCAGCAGCGGCCTCGCTGCCCTTTTTGCCCATCTGCTGCAGCTTGAGCTCCCACGTGAATTGCTTGCCAAACTGGCCGACCACACGCTCCGTGGTCTGAGTGTACAGGCTCTCCGTGTTGAGCAGCAGGCCGTCGACGTCGAAGATGACGTGTGTGATGGCCGGAAGGCTCGGCTCCATGGCTGCTGCGGTGGTTCAGGCTGCAGGAGACATGAATGGGTCAGCAAGTGTCACCACAAGCTGGTCCAGTACTGGGTGTGGAGACAGTCACTGAGTCAGTTGATCCCCTGCAGGAATGTGAGCATGACCCCATGCTAGATCACACACAATCAAGTTCATTACCACAGATTGTCTAAAGATACATTCTGAGTGTTTGTAGCCTTTCTGAAAATGGTACCTTTACCATTGACATCTGCAGTTCCTGATGTGGCTCATTGTACCACTGTATATAGGTTGAGAAAAGTGATCCATAAACAACATGATAGAACTTTGATAAAGATATGGAAGGCAGTCATTTCAATGCAACACACAACCTCCTGATGCATCCCATGAATGCTCAAAGGAGGTCTGTGCCAGGGGATGAAATGCCCATATTCTTTCTCTCCATGCAACATATGAGGAAAGTGTAATTTTTCAGGACATGGGGGGGGGGGGGCACTGGCTCCTTTCTCCTACACTTTGTGTCATTCACAGCCCTGAGACATGACTGTCACATGAAAATAGCATTCTGGTTGCTGCCGTGTTCCTGGCATGTAGTGTAGATGTTGAGTCAGGCAGATCAAAATGTTACACCACATTTAAAAGGCAATTACTGAAAGGGATTACATCAGTATCATCACACAATACTAGTTATTACCATTCTAATGAACAAACTTGCTATTATGATTAAAACTATCTAAAGGATCCTATCAAAATGTTTTTCATGCAAATATGCTGAATTTCAGCACATTCACCTGATGCAATTAGCATTGTTCTTTTCAAGGCTGTATAAGGCTGAGGCTGTTTAATCTTTTTGGTATTGGAGCTTTCCACTTACACCAGCATGATTTTGTAGTTTTGTCCATTAAATGGATATTATGGGAGGCCAGCATGCACTGTGGTGCTTCCAATTTTGTAGTTTTTATACAGGTGCATACTTTACAAAATGAGTTGGGGGGGGGGGGCAGTGAAACATATGCCACTACCAAAATATACAACAGGTTTCTCCAGATTTGGCCTAGACTCTTCCCAGTGTGTGTGTGTGGGGGGGGGGGGGGGGGGCAGAGGGCAATGCAGAAACCCAAACCAACTGAATATGAAACTACACCTCATACTTTTATCCCAAAACTTCATGGCAAAGACAAGGCACTGATGTGCCAGTGATTTGGTAATGAGTTTACTTGAGAAAAGAGATTGATGACCTAGAATCAGAATTTGTTGACCACTCCGCAACAAACAGAATCATAGTTTCATAGGACCTTTGGAATTCCTTTCTGAGGCATTCTAGATGTTTCCATTACACCATTATTCACAAAACAAGACAAAACTGAGCTGAGAGCTTTCAATCCATCATTTATATTTTCATTTGCTTGCTCCAAAACCATCCAACTTCCAACTTCCATCTTCCATCTTGAACTTCTGACATTACCTGCTGAGAGCATCCAACCAAAAACAATAATTGCATCACTAATGCCACAACTCAAGCTGCCCACAAAATACATACTTTGTGACACATATCTAGGACAGCAGCATAACTGTTTAATAAATTCAGTGCATGTACACTGCAAATATACATGCTCCACATTTGTCACTTGGCTGATGGTAATTTCAACACATGCGAGACCACTGTTTTAAGGAATTGATAAGGGATGATAAATGCTAGCTTAAGCACCTCCTCAATGCAGCCAAATATTGTCCTTCAAAATACATTCGAATTGGAGCAGTTTATGTAGCATGACCTACGTGCGGCACAGATTGAACCCATTAATGTTGTTTAGGTGCCTGAGACGCATGAGGAATTTTGGAGGGACCAGGCTCCAGTCCGGGCAGTGGTGGCCGCAACTCCCAGGCCGCTCTAAGCATATCTTATTATAGCAGAACCTTTATAAAAAACTTAGTGCGAACATTCTGAATGGATGGACTTCTATTCATGGATCTCACCCAAGGCCATTGAACAGAACCTCACCCCACGTATCTCCCGCTCCGCGTGCCCTGAGTCCCTGCTGACGAGAGCCTCCGTTTAAAACACAAAAATCAGATGACGTCATCGCTCCCTGCCTTGGTACGAAAAGCAGTCTGGTAGGAATCACAGTCCTGGTAGACATTTTGCCAGATATCAAAGGCTCGTGACGTGATTAATTCGCCAGCTTCGTGCATGCCATCCGCGTCTCACAATGCATGATGAGAACGGAAGGCACAATTAGCAACCTTTCGCTGCAAATGCGTCACGTACCACGGAAGCACGCGTTCTTTGTAATATGCCGTAAACTGGTCTTGCATTTTCGTGATCTTCTGATTTGTATGAGTTCGGTGTTCGTGGTTTGACCGACACTCGCATTGCTTCAGGGGTCCCTGAAAACGGTGCAAGAGGACCTCTGGATAATATTTCAGGTCCCTATCCCTACAGCCGAGATTGTGTATACGACGTACAGCCAGTCGTTCGGGCCCTCATTCCCTCCAACCGGGCGCTTTGACGGTTTCGGTGTGTCACCTTGCCCCTCTTCGGGCCTCATCGAGTACTTCCCCAGGTTGGCTCGGGGCCCGTACGGGCACAGGACCCTCTGATAGGCGCTGTGGGCCCCTGACAGATACAAAGCCGCCGACAAGTGCAAATTACTGGCCCCAGCTTTATGGTTGATTGGAAAGTGGACTCTCAAGCCCATACGGACACGGAGCCGACTGTGCGGTACTGGTGGTACCTGATCGACATATATACCTATATCGACCCAGGGGATCCACGATGGGCGCAAAGGGCCCTCTGACTCTAGGCTTTTCGGGCTTCTTCGAACATTATCTCTGACTGACTCTGGGCCCCCTGACAACGCAGGGCCCCCGTCAGGCGATGTGGGCCTCGCGAAATGTAAAACGCTTGCTCCTGCTTTGTCTCTGCTTGGGAAATGAGTCCTAGACCCATTCCGCCACGGAGTCGACTGTACATGAGTAGTGGTGGCTGACGGAAATATAGGCCCTTATCGACTCAATGGGTCCCTGATGAACACGCAGGGCGCTCTGGCTGGAATTGGAGTGCCCGGCCCCTGAATGAGACCTCCGTGTGGACTTTCGGGCCCTTCGGGCCGTCAAATCGGGCCCCTAATCGTAGGTCTCGAGAGGCCCGCGGAACCTTACAGAGGGGGGGGGCGCATGCCCCCCGTGCCCCCGCCTGCCTGCACTATTGCTCGTCCACACATTGGCTGCGGCTTAGTGTTGGCAACAGGGCTGAACTGTGCGGCCTACGGAGTCTGTCACGCCTGGCGTCAAGGATTTTTGCTCAGATTTGCTAGCACGCCCGCTGAAAACTTCGTTATATAATTTGTATCACTTATCAATTATTACTGACTGTTGAACATTCCCCGACCAACATGACTTGACCATGTTAATACGCATTGCTGATCCATTTCGAGCTACAGCCGCGCGGTTTAAAAACAAATTATGTACAGCCCAAAAATGATTCTGAAAAAGCTTCTAAGTTCGATCGGTTTAGAGAAAGACCACTGTGCTCTTGTAAAATGAAGAGCTCCGGTGATTTATTCCATGTAATCGTCTAACGCATGCTTTCTTCGGTTGATGGACTGTAAAATTCAGGCAGAATTGATCCCGCGGTAGCTTCGGCTTCCATGCCAGTTACAGAGGGTAAACATGAGCAAATATAAAAGCATGCCTCCATTAAGAGCTGAGCTATATTCGGTGCTTTTTGTCTGGGGAGGAGGCTTTTATTATCAGAGGCTCTTTGTCGACCGTGAGTCCTCGCTTTCCAAGGCTGCGCGCCTGTACTTAAATAAAGAAGCCCATCGGTTTGAGGTCTTCGTAGTCTTTGCCCCCCCCCCCCCCCCCTTCCGATCCAAAATTCAGATACGCCGCCCCTGCCAGGTGGGCCCCATGTGGGTTCCAGTTTGGACCCATACGGGCCCCATATGGGCCGTTCATGTGGGGCCCAGGTGGGCACCCATGACATGTCCACATGGTGCCGAAGTGGGCAGCCCTGATAGCCCCATATGACTGTCCATCACGGATCTACATAGGCTCCAGTTGGTTATGCTGTCTGGGGCCTTAAAAGAGAAAAGTCAGCCCACATTTTCCAAAGCTGTGAGAGCTGCGACTATGTTAGTAAAGCCAACCAAACTGAATAGGAAATTCTCCTTGTTAGCGCCTTAAGTGAACACAGTTTGTTAACTCGTTTGCGCTTCGAACATCGATGTTTATTCAGGATTTCATATTGCACGCACCTTGTCGAGAATTTAGCTCAGTTTTCTTCCGACTAAATTCTAAGTAACAAACTAAATCCGTCGATTATTGCCGCCCACGACTTGATACCTTGATCGCCGTCGGCTGCTGGAGGTTCCTTCGTGGGGCCCTGTGAGCGATTGAGGGAGCCCGATACTTCGCCGGTTTGCTTCATAGCTAATGGTACGATAGGGTCAGTTGCGGTGCAGTTCTTGTTTGATACCATGCAAGCTAGTATTACCTTGTGTTGCGCGCCATTGCCGATGTCACTTACCAGCTTACAGCATACAACATTTGCGTTTTCACGGTGTTTCGTCATGCTGCGCCGTGCAGATAACAAACGTGGAGTGCATTTTGACTCGGAGAATTACACCACTTGATGCTTGTGTTCAAGCGGTGCCCCTTGTAACGGAAGAAACGTCCACCATTGGGGGCCTTGAAGGATTAAGTTGTTTTTATGTGCGCTTCCATGGGCCTGGTGTTTTGTTTTCTCAAATTCTTTGGATCTAGACATTGATGGCCTTCAGATTTACTTCTTTATATTATAAATAGCATGAATTGACCTTAAGGC